TTGGAATGGAGAGTGAATCCCACTGGAAAAGTGAAGAGAACAGCTCTTAGTGATAGTTTTTCAAGGAACTGGAGAGTGGTGATGGTGGCAGTGGAATATGTTGACAATGAACAATGGGGGAAGGACAGGAAAATTTCTCCACCAAAGGAGTGATCTGAAAGTTTTCATCCGTGCACAAAAAAGATCGAGCCAATCAGATGCAACCCAGCAAAGCAAAAGTTCCACGGAGATGGATAACGCCTGGCTTTATGGGAAGCTGGGGATGCTGTCATCTGGCCAGACCGTCCTCACGGCCAAAGTCAGGCAGCTGCTTTTGCTCATCACTCAATTAAGCAAAAGTCGTCAGAAGCAAATGAGGGATCCGCATCCCAGCGGTAGCGGCAGCATCCAAGTGTTTGTGTAGAGTAAATCCAGGCGAGTAGAGCAAACGGGTTGCCAAGGGAAAGAACAATTATTCTTTCAGCTGGTATCAATTAAAACCTGTGACTTCTCCACAGACATCTGCTTATGTTCTAAAAACTCTGTCATCACTCTCTTGACAAAATAAGAATTTTTGGACCCAGATCAACATTGCAATCTCCACTCTGTCAACAAGTACTACGGCTCTCGCTGTGAACGGGTTTGTTAGTTAATGGGTTTTTTAATAAATAAATAAATAAATAAATAAATAGTTATGCAGAATCGAGTTAAAACATTAAGATGGATTATCTTTTTTAAAACAAAAACAAAAACAAAACAAAACAAAACAAAACAACCCCCTGTGTATATGTAGCATTTCCTTTCTGTAATAAAATAGCTTAAAAATAATTTGGAATTTAATAGAAACAAGGATGTGGAGTTCTATTGTCTTGGAGAGCCAGTGTAGCATAGTGGTTTGAGTGTTGGATGATGAATCTGGAGACCAGGGTTCAATTCCCCACTTGGCCATGAAATCCACCGGGTGACCTTGGGCAAGTCACACTCTCTCAGCCTCAGGGGAAGGCAATGTCAAGCCTCCTCTGAACAAATCCTGCCAAGAAAACCCCGTGATAGATTCGCGTTAGGGTCTCCATATGTTAGAAATGATTTGAAGGCACTCGACAACGACAACAACAATAGCAATACTGGGCCTCACATCAAAATACACAATGTGTTTTCACTTACTTCATACAGACAGAGCAGCAACTAGTGGTTTCCATGTCAGTGAGATGGTGAATTTGCTTTGGATTAGAGTCAGAAGTTTAAATGAGCCATTTTTAGGCCTGCATCTATACTGCAGAATTAATGCAGTTTGACATGTTTTAACTGCCATGGCTCCATCCTATTGAATGCTGGGATTTGTAGCTTTGTGAGATATTTAGCCTTCCTTTCCAGAGGGTTCTGGTGTCACAACGAACTACAGTTCCCAGGATCCCATAGCATTGAGCCATGGCAGTTAAAGTGGTGTAGGACTGGATTATTTCTATAATATATAAGATGTACTTGTAGACCAAAATCCCTTGCCATGTGGTCCCTGCAGGTCTGCAAGAACAGAAATTTGGCCTCTGACCCTCTCCACATTTGGCACTGGGATGCACTGTTTGTCTAATCTAGTGGTTCCCAAATTTTGGTCCTCCAGATGTTTTGGACTCCAGGTCCCAGAATTCCTGACTTTTGGTTAAGTTGGCTAGGATTTCTGGGAGCTGAAATCCAAAACAGCTGGAGGGCCAAAGTTTGCAAACCAATGGTCTAATCTTTGCAATCTGAGGTCTCTTGCTGCTCTGCAGATCCCTTGCTGGTTCCCATTCAGGCAAGCAGCACCACGAATCCCTTGCTAAAACTTGTTGCTGATGCCGGCGCAAAATTAATTGGAAGGGTGCTATTTGTGGATTTCAATGAAACAATTGTTTTGAGGGTTTCAGCGAAGGATTTCTGTTTGCCTTGGAAGCTCCATCAGCCAATTCCCTGAGGTGTGCAAGGGAGGGAAAGAGATCACTCACCCCCCTCCATGCATTTTAAGTGTAACTCCTGAATTGTATCAGGATAGATTTCCCTCCGCCTCCTTGAACAGCAGAGACATCAAAACAATGATTCCTTTTTCAGTTTACCTTGCTTGGTGGAGAAGGTTGGCAGCAGAGAGCGTGCGATTCGGTCCAAGAACAATTATAGTATGAAACTGCTGCCAATCGTTGTAAAATCCCCAAATTTTGGAAGCGATGTTTTGCCATTAGCAATATTTCTCCGCGCTGGAACAATGAGGATCACAAAATTACAGAACATACCCTTGGAAGGAAAAAGAGGGGGGGGGGAAGAAAAACAGGTAAGAGACAGGCCTTTGTTTTCGAGGGAAGACAGTGGTATGACTTGAGCTTCATCAAATTCTCGTCTTCCTAGCAAAACCGAACGATGGCGGGCAGGATTCGACAGGAAGAAGGAACTCTAATTCAATTATGAAAACATCTTTCTGCATGCCATCGTCACCAATGAAGAAGCTTCATATTTCCCTGATTTAAAAAAGGGAAATTCAGTGGTATATAAAGGTCAAATATACCCAAACTCTGAGCTGCCTCCTTTGGGAGATAGGGACCAAACAGTCAGAATGAAATATGAATATATTAAATTAAAGAAATTATATTGACCTACATTCAGTGGGTTGTCTCAGCTAGAGGAAACCACCCGAATCAAGGGGCTGAATCCTATGGGTTGTTGTTGTGTGCCTTCGAGTCATTTCTAACTTATACTGACCTTAAGGCGAACCTATCTTGGGGTTTTCTTGGCAAGTTTTGCAGAGGGGGTTTGCCATGGCCATCCTCTGAGGCTGAGAGAATGTGACTTGACCAAGGTTACCCAGTGGGTTTCCACGGCCAAGCCAGGATTTGAACCCTGATCTCCAGAGTTGTAGACCAGCACTCAAAACATTGGCATAAACCCACTTGCTAGTACCACCACCACCCATATTCAAGCCATTCCCTTCTCTTGCTCTCCCATTTTCACAAGGAAGCTAAAAAGCAAGGATCCCAGTGTTTCAAAGGGCCACATGCACAAATACACAGACACACACACACACACTCCGTTTATTCTCTGCTGGATCTCAGCCCAAAGCTTCTCAGTGCAGCAGGCAGAAGAAACATTTTGGAGAAGAACACCACGTTCCCCGAAAGCTCCCAACACCCAACCTGCCCTCTCAAGGGCTTTTAAATCCCATCAGTTGCCTCACAAAAGAAACCTGGTGAGGTGTACGTGTTCTTCTTTTCTTCTCTTTTTATCCACTTCTGAACAGTGCCAGGAAAGCGTGAGAAAGCTGGGGATTAGTTGGAGCTGTCAGCGACACACCTGTGCCTCAGCTGGGAACGTGGCTGTCATGGTGTCACAACGCACACCGAAAACTCAGCCCATGCATGCCAATGGTGGCTACTTGCATCAGCCCCGTTCACAATATGGAAATAAACTGGTTTGGAACCAGTTTGGTTTTGTGACATTCACACTCGCCCAGACTGCACTTTATGGGGGTGGCGGTGGTGCATGAAAAGCTCACTTAAACCGGTGCATTTGGCTCCGGACCCTTGAGCAGTTCTTTTTTAAAGAGCCGCATCGATTCGCATCTTCGGTAGTGTGACCACACTACCGAATCGATTCAGATCATGCTGCATCATTCCCAGAAATGGAGGCGCCTCCATTTTAAATCGATACGGTGGCAAATGTGAACGGCAATAGGGTTAAAATGCCACGGAGAGATTCAGTAGCCTAAAACTAGTGGGAACGCCGAACCGATTGTGACTCAGTTCTGAATCAGTGTGACGATGCGAATCTCTTCGTTCAAAAAAGTGAGTGTGAATGACATCCATGGAGAGACCAAGAATCAAGAGAGAGACCCAAACATTTGCAGCAATACTATAGTTTGTTGCCTGGAGTTTGCAAGGTCTGAGCAGTCTCAGTGACCGATCTTGGCTTCTAGTGAGAGTTTGGCCGTGATTTGCTCGGTTATTAATTGCCATCAAGCCGACTAGATGACCTTTGAGGTCAATGCCAACTTGTTGACTTTGAATTTTGGCAACCCTATGAATGTGAAACCTTCAAGCATCGATGGACAAGTTTTTGTTCTTCCTCACTTTGAAATCCTCCCTGCAAAAAAACCTGGACAGGGTTGCAAGGCTCATGTCCCTGCAATGGACTTTAAAATGGAACTCAAGGCTCACAATCAGAGTTTTTCTAATAAAAAAAACCCAGCAAAGTGGGCGATGTTGCAACACAATTAAAAAAAGCCCTGTAACATCAGGGTACAACCGAATTAAAATCGCCTTGGTTAAAACAAAAGGTACAGCACACATCTGTTAAATATCTCAGTAGTGTCAATGCACCAAAGCTGCCCTCAATCCAAAGGTCTTTCTGCTTCCGCATTGAGTTGCAGCAATTCCATTTGAGAGTATTTCATTCTGTTTTTCCAGCATTATTCCAAGAAGCAGGTTTCAGCCAGCAGAGGCTAGAGCCTTCCTTGTCCGTAGGTTAGTGAATCCATTCTGGGTTTGGGACTGAACTTTAAAGGAAGTATTCAAGGTGCTGAAATGGCAGGAACAGCTTCAGCACCATGGACAACTCCTTTAAAGTTCAAATTAAAACCTGGAGACATGGAAGTCACCACCTGCAAGTGCGGGTCTTTCCTCCATCACTTGGTTCTGGTTATTTTGGGAAAAGATCTTTTGGACCAGAATCCTGTGTGTTTTTAGGCTGCTCTGGAAAGCATAGGAGGACCACCAAAATAAATAAATATGTACACACATGTGTGTGCATGCCTTAATGGGCAATCCAATTCCAACTAATCCAATTTAACTTTGGCACCTATCATTTCATGGCTTAACTGGGGAAATCTTCAAGCGGATTTCACAATCCCCATGGGTTTATTACAGCAACAACAGGTAGATCTCCTATAACACACACACAGGAATTGGTCTCAGATTGATCCCATGTCCCCAGGGGATTCTGGGAAGCAGAACTAGGGGGAGACTGGGGAGGGGGCATGGGTTGGAAGGGACCCCAGGAATCTCTTTCTCCTCCAGCACAACTCTGCCAGAGGTTTGCCATAGAGTTGTGCTGGAGAAACTAGAAATTCCTAGAGAAAACACCTCTCTAGGCATTTGTTGGTCCTCCAGCATGAGTCTATGGTCAATTTTTGCCAGATGTTGACCACAGAGTTGCACTGGGGGATTCTAGTGCTGCTTTTCATTCACGGGACTTTCTATAAGTGCTATAATTCCTGTTTATTCACAGGATAATGATGTGATTATGGTGACGTCGTAAGACGTCATCTGATAGTGTTTGCGCAATTGTGCAATGGGAGCATCCTGCTATGGTCCTGTCACTTTTGGCCATGTGAAAATCTCCATAATCTTGATCCCTATATTGGGAGAAAGGTGGGATGATGATGATGATGATGATGATGATGATGATAGGATCTTTACTTGGCAGCCCCTATGTGTGTGTGTGTATGTATTTGTGTGTGAGAGAGAGATTGTGTAAGGTTCATCTTTTTTGTTCTTCTTCTTTTGTTCTTTCTTTTGCACCCATTTCCCCTTTCAAGGCCATCTGTGAAATGGAGATAAGATCTCCGGAGCTCCCGGCCTTCCTCTTATAGGCTTTAACATCTGGTTTCAAAATGGCCACCCCAGATCATAATGGGAGATGGGTTTGGGCGCTACCCATGTCCGGACACACACCCAACACCATGAGTCAGTGACACTAAAGGAAAACTCGCTCTTAGGGGAAAGTGCAAGAAGGAGTTGAGGATCAGCGTCACGGGGTGGGACAAACTATTAAACATTTGGGTTCACTTTGCATTGAGAATCTCCAGTTTAGGTGCAGAATGTGCCAATACAGAAATTCCAAAATCTCCCAAAATCCGAAATATGGAACACTTCTGGTCCCAAACATTTGAGATAATGGAGACTCAACCTGTGTTTACATTAGTGCATTGA